TTTTTTTTTTTTCTTTGTATTCTGTTTTTATTAGTACTATTTGCCATACATAATGATCACATCTGTCAAAGAGAATTTGTACCTGTACAAATTTGTAGTCCCAGTAGCTAGGACTACAATTGCACTTACCATAGACAGCTTTCTTAAATATTTCTTAAATTAGCTACTTCCTTCCATCCCTGCTACCTCTTTCCCAGTCCAAGTCATCGTCATCTCTTACTTTGTAGAATATCATCATAGGTGCTATGCTATGCTCCACCCAGTTGCTTCTCCATTCCATTCAGTATGTTTCATTCAGAAAATATGCATAAATCCACGTTTGATCACATCTTCTCTACTTACACAACTTCCTATTGCTTTTGTGATAAACACTCAAAACCTTGACTTGGATAATAATTTTTTTGATCTTTTCCTCTTCTCTTGGCTTCTCTAAAAGGCTTGTCATAATAAGATTCTTTTCCTTGCTTTCTGCACTTTTAATTCTTCTAAAAGAACTAAATGTGTTATTCCATGTGCTTAAATATTCTCTCACCTTTTCATTCTTCATACTATACTTAATTCTTAATTCAGTCTCTAGTCTCAGAAAAGGCTTCTCTAACCTCCTAGGCTAGTCATGGCGAACCTATGGCATGTGTGTCACAGCCAGCTGTTTGTTGTCATTAAAATCTCTGAAGGTTTGCCATCACTGTCCTAGCCTAAGATAAACTATAAGCTCTGTGAAATCTTATTTCTTCCATCATTGCATTTATTTTAGTTCTTAATCATACAACCATCTGATTATCTGATTGTCATTTTCTTCTACTAAATTGCAAAGACAAATGATTTGTGGAATAGTGCTGGATAAATACATACAGTAGACCTTCAAGTTATAATGGCCTCACTATGAACAATTTAGGTTATGACTAGAATTTTAAGTGTAATTTACGACCAAAGTCTTGGGTTATGAATTAAATGTGGGCCACGTGTGGGGTTGTAAACAGAGACTGAAGGTGCTAGAAAAGCACATACATGTATACATAAGCATGTTTGAGCCCAGATACCCACATTTGTGGATGTGGTTTCACTCAATGTTTTATATAATTGCTATGATTACTATGATCAAAATGGCCCCCCAGAAGCTAGGAAAAAAGCTAAGGAAGGGAATATAAAGAAAACAATCACAATCAAAAAGAAGAAAGAATTTGTGGAAAAATATAAGAGTGGTGTTTGTGTGACTGAGCTCACTAATATATATATAGCATGTTGAAATCTGCCATTTCAGCAATCTCACAAAGAAGACTTTGTTTGGGGTTTTTTTGTATCATGAATTGAGCTCAGGACCTTGTACTTGCTAGGTAGGTGCTATGCTGCTAAGTTATATTCCCAGCCTCAGGGACAAGATTTGTATAAGGAAGCTAGCTTTGCTAAAGGTGCTACTCAGATTACTGAGTCACAATTAGCAGTGTTAGATGAGGTAGAAAGGCTTTTATTAGTGTGGATCAAAAAAAAAAAAAAGACAGATGGCAGGTTATAGCCTGAGTCTATAATTTGTGAAAAAACTAGGACTATGAATACAGATATCATAGAGTAATCCATCATTGAGTGATAATGGTGAAACATTTCATGCCAGTAAGAGTTGCTTTCACAATTTTAAATTGAGAGCTGGGGTTTATGGCATGACTAGGCATTATGAAGCAGCTAGTGCTGATATAAAGGCTGCTGAAAATTATACATATCATTTTGAAATGATGACACAAAGGAATGGCTTTTGCTGTCATCAGGGTTTCAACTGTGATGCAACTGTCTTTTTCTGCAAGAAAATGTCCAGGAAGAGAAAAAAATGCCAAGCCAAAAGCCTCTGAAGGACAGGCTTTTGTGCTATGTGCCAATGCAAGTGGTAACTTCAAGATAAAGCCTTTCCTGGTTTGTCACTCTGAGGCCCCTAGAGTGTTCAGAAAACATAAAGCCATATGCGAAGGGTCATGTGGATATCTTAACACAAAAGCCTATGTAACAGGAGTACTTTTTCCTGAGTGGATCAGGGAGGCTTTCTGTCCCCTACTGTTAAGAAATGCCTAGGCTGGGTATGGTGTTGCACACTTGTAACCCCAGCTCTTGCGAGGCTGAGGCAGGAGGATTGTAGGCCAAGCCCAGTCACATAGTGAGTTCAAGGCCAGCTTGAACTAGAAAGTGAGTTCCTGTCTTAAAGAAAAGAGAGAAAGAAAGAAAGAGATTTAGAGGACAAGAGTTTACCACTCAAGGCTCTCCTTATCATGGAGAATGCTCCTGCTCACACATGTGATTTGAAAGAAGAGTTGGCTAAAGAATTTTCATGTCTCTCAGCTGCGTTCCTTTCTCCTGATACAACTCTTCTACTGCAGTCTATGGACGACCAGGTTATAGCTAACTTTAAGAAGCTGTACACCAAGGAACTGTTCCTGAAGTTCTTCCAGATGGTCTTGGATACAGATTTAACCCTTAAAGAGTTCTGGAAGGAACATGACAACATCCTTTCTTATGTGGGGTTAATTGAAAAAGTTCTGGGCCAGTGTCTCTCTAAGGACACTGAAATCTTCCTGGAAGAAAGTATGTCCTAAAATTATACAAGAGGGCTGGGGAGATGGCTCAGTAGAATAAGCGCTTCCCTGGCAACTGCAAATGTCTGAATTCAATCCCTGGTTCTGCCAAAAAAAAATTAAAAGAATAAAATTATATAAAAGAGAGACTTTAGGGCTGGTGAGATGGCTCAGTGGTCTAAAGCACCTACTTAGAACAAACTTAGCAAAGCACAGGGACCGCGGTTCAATCCCCCAGCACCACATGCCAGCCAGCCCCGGCCCCTGGTGGGCTGAGCTGGCCACACACACACACACACACACACACACACAAATTAAAAAAAATAAATAAATAAAGAGAGAGAGACTTTAAAGGGTGTGTAGAGGAGCCTGAGTCTTCAGTGGACCCTATGGCTGATGATATCACTATAGCAGAAGACGTAGACTTGCAGATAGATAGTGGTGATATTGAGGATCTGATGGAGGAACACTCAAGAGAAATTGTCCACAGAAGAACTTCAACAACAGCAAAGTTCTGGAATAAAGGAAATCCTAAATCTGTAGGGAAGACCAGACAGTGAAAGAGCCAGTCGTTGTATTCAGTTGCTTAGTGACAGTGTCATGTCATACTATAGAACAGTGTTAAAGAAAAGAGAAATAGACAACCTTAGACAAGCTTTTAATTCTAAAAAAGGTTGCGACCTAGTAAACCAGAAGCAGGTCCTAATGGACCATATGCTATCCCAAGAAGAGAAATGGTACCAGATTTCTGATATTCGTTTTTTTTTTTTTTATTTTGTTTTTAGTAAGCGTTACATAACACACTAAACGAAACTGCATGTCACATAATATACTGCTTAAACAGGGTTTAAGAGGGCCATAACTGAGTTATTTTTTCATCAATCAGGAAAATGCTTCCTTAATCAATGTTCTCCAAACCCTTTGACACATAGTAACGGTTAACTCCAGAGATGTGCCTGTCTCTTTCCATCAAACTCCACTGATACGGAAAATGGGCAACCCTTTTTTCCTTGCCCCCGCTTAGTGAACTGGTGGATGTATGCAGTGGCCACTCGGGGAATGACCAAGTACAAGCCCATGATGGCAACTCCAGGTAGAATCTCGAACCACATCTCGGCTCAGTGACCCAAACCCTCTGGTACTCTCAAAGGTGACCGGCTTCAGATTCCTGATATTCTTATGGAAAGGGACTTTTCTTTATTTATGTATTTGTGTGTGTATGTGGCCAGCTCAGCCCACCAGGGGGCGGGGCTGGCTGGCATGTGGTGCTGGGGGATTGAACCGCGGTCCCTGTGCTTTGCTAAGCTTGTTCTAAGTAGGTGCTTTAGACCACTGAGCCATCTCACCAGCCCGGAAAGGGACTTTTCTTCCAAATAGTAACCACTTTCCATTTCATCCTTCCTTTCTGCAAGCCCAAAATGTCAATTTGAATCATGATACAGTATGAAATTGTTTCTAGTAAACTAGGCACATTTTCTAACTTTTTGGTGAAAATATTAGGAAAATTATTGGTGTTTCTGGTAAATTACTCACATTATACAACTTTTTTATTTGGAAAAGGTGAGTTAAGGGGTGCTTTGGGAGGTTTTTCATATGGAAAAAATAGTCTTGACTTATAACTGATTTGAGTTACAACCAGCCCTTGCAAACAAATTGAGTTCATAAGTCAATTTAACTTTTTTTTGAAATTGACAATTTTATTTAAAAAATGGGGGCAATCAAGCTCTCCTGCTCTTGTGATCTTTTAGTAGTGTCAGTCTCAAGGTGACCCAGAGTCTGGTGGAAAGAAAGATGGGATCAGGGTCTAAGGCAAGCTGCACATTTGGCTGCAGGGATTGTCCTAGTGACAGTGGTTAAGTTGAGGCCCCTGGATGCTTTAGGCCACAAATCTCACCCTTGACTTTGGCCAGAGATAAGGGTGGGGTGGGGTGAGAGTGATATTCAGCAAATCCCAGAATACATAATTCTTAACATTCAAAATTCTGGATATTCCATATAAATTAAGCATTGTAAAAACAGAGTTTACCTGAAGCTGTTACCCTGTTATATTCATGGCAAAAGGTTGGCTGATGGGTTCTAGAAAGCTTAAAAGCCTGACAGCCTTTTTGGTGCTAATTTGATTTAAATTATGCCTCAAACCCTCTAAAATAGCACTTGGGGATATAGAAGGTTAATGGATTTTAGCTCTTCACAAGGGGCAGAGCTTGCTGAAATCACATTCATTCTAATTAGAGTTTCATATAAATTCTTCCCCTAGACTCCATCAGCTTGCTCTAATTGTGTGACTATACTTTCCATTTTTATTTATTATTATAAAGATTATTACCCACTTAAAAATGTCACTTGGGTTTCTGGGAGGATTAGAATGTAGGAATGAAAGTTCTTTGGTCTTGAGAATTGAGAAACTCTCAGGGAGCGGGGGTGAGTCTTATCTGCATTTATCACTCTGGAGGTAAATGCTTTTTCTCTTCTTTGACATGAAGTTGAAGTTTGTAAAAGAAACAGTCATGTGAGAGTCAGGGCCTGGGGAATCTAGTCTGTGTGTTTGGGTTTTTGTTGTTGTTGTTTTGTTTCCCTGTAGAGCTGAAAATGCTACTGAAATTCTAAAATTCTGAATGACTGGCTCACCAGAATAGTTAGATGGACTGAATAATTGTGGCTGCCTCTTTTTTGTTATTGTTTTTTGAGACAAGGTCTTGCCATGTAGTCTAGGCTGCTTTGAAATTTACTATGTAGCCCCAGGCTGGTCTTGACATGATTTTTTTTGCCTCAACCTTGCAACTGCTGTGATTATAGGGGTGTGCCAGAAGGCCTGGCTAATTGTGGCTTCTGAGTTTGAATACCTGTTACTCTCCTCCTCTTTCCCCTTCACAGATTCCCCAGGAGATGTTTATCCAACTGCATTAGGGCCAGGAAAGTTGGGCAGCAATCACTGTGACTGCATAGAGCTTCAGTGTTGCAGCCATCAGTCATTGTCCTGACCTCTAGTTGAGATTATCTCATGGAGAAAGGAAGTAGTAAAATGAGCCTGGGTTTCCTCTATCCCGTACTTCTTCCTGCTGGGTCTCCAGGGACTAGGCTGGAACCAGGATGTGGTCAAGAAAAAGCAGACCTTAGAGTAGTTGGTTCAGACTAACACCTATAGGCCTTTGAGCAAAACACTGCCTTTTCTTCTCAGATATACCTTGTACATTCTAATTGGCCAAGATTAGTCAGTGGTTGTAAAAGCCATATTTGTGGTTAGGATAGACCAGTCTACTCATTGCTTAGCCTTCCACATACAAGTTTAGAATCAAACCAGGCTGTCACAGTGATTTTTTTTTTTTTTTTTTTTTTTTTTTTTTCCCAGAACCATTGCCTCTCAGTATCTCCCTTGAACCTGTAGGGCTAGTCCGTGACTGATGTTTTGGATACAAATGAAGTATTTTTCCATATCTCCACATCTAAGAAAAAGAAAATTCCTTTTTTTTTTTTTTTTTTTTTGCACTTTTGGTTTAAGTGGCAGTTTACAAAATGTGGGCATTTATGCCATTTGGTGCCATAAGAAATTTATACACTATGTATTTTTTCTGCTTTTGGAGCATGAGATGTATGCTGATTTATTTAAATTTTAAACTTAATTTTTGTTTGCAGTTCATAATCATTATATTCCTTGTGGGGAGTTGGTGTATGTACATAACACACCTTTACTCTTTTTTTTTTATCCCCTTCTCCCTCCCCTCTCCTCCATCTCTTGGTCCCCTTCCTATTTCCAAAAAACCTGTCTCCCTATTTCCTATTATGCTGATCTGTTTTAAGCTATTACTATGGTATTTTAACAAACAGCATTCATTGATTTCTTTTAAGAAACTTGAGCAGCTATGCATCAGCTTGAGTGAGTAGTCCTGCATACAGTTAAGTTGCTCACTAGCCAGCCACCAGCCATTCTGGAAGGCTTAAGCAGGAAAATTACAAGTTTGCAGCTGGTTTGGGCAGTTTAGTGAGAGCTTGTCCCAAACTATTAAAAAGGGGCTGGGGACTTATCTGAGTGGTAGACCATTTATCAAGTATGCCTAAGATCCTGGACTTAATCCTAAGCACTGCAAGAAAATAAAATACTTTTTGTAAATTAAGTTAAATCGAGTTTTCACCATTTTTAGATAATCAGGAATGTGTAACTTGACTTCAAATTATGTGTACCTCACTTTATAGGAAACAGAAAAAGGTGGGCTGGGGTTGTAACTCAGTGGTAAAGCCCTTTGCTGAGTGTACATTATGTAAAGCACTGGGTTTGTAAACCAACTTGACTACCTTAAGCCTCCTGTAAAACAGAAAACACAAAAGAGAACTGCAAGATTTCTGTCCTTTAGGAAGTTTGAGTCTGATTATGATATAAGACTAACATACATGAAACAAATAGAGAATTTAGTAACTACAGTATGTACCTGCTTTTAATTTATGGTGTTAAAACTGTTAAAGATTTCTGAGAATAGTGTTTTGTCATTATTCCCATCTCTCCCAATGGTGTATAGCATGTGTTTTGTATTTTCCTAGGTACTGGGGCATCTTGCATCTATCCCTTACTTGGAGCAACCTTAAATGGCTGGTATTTTCTTGCAACAGAAGTGGATGATATGTGTTTCAACTATGCTAAGAAAAATGTCGAACAAAATAACTTATCTGATCTCATAAAAGGTTAGTATCACAGGGCCGGGGAGATAGCTCAGTGGAGTAAGTGATTGCTTGGCAAGCACAAGAGCCTGAGTTCAATCCTTGGTTCCGCCAAAAAAAGTTAGTATCACAGAATACTCTTCAAGCTTTAGTAATCTTTTTAAGACCTCTCATTATCTTTTGCTTTAATATACAGACGTTGATAATTGTTTAGAAATCTATCACATTGTAAAAATTGTAATTGGGTTTGCTGTTTTGATACCAAAATTAACTCAGAAAGAAAATTAGTACAGTTGAGCCTCATTACTTGTGAATTCTGTATTTATGAATTTACCTACTTGCTGATTTATTTTAGTAGATATTCTTGAATACATTTTTACAAATTTGTTGTATTTTAAGTGTTTTTTGTTTGTGTATTTTAATAGATTTAATTTTTTAGATCAGTTTTAAGTACAAGGCCAAATCAAAGTTATAGAGAGTTCTGTGTACTCTTTGCCCCTCAGTAGGCACAGCCTCCTCCCCCAGAGTGGGATATGTCAGTTAGAACTGACAGTCATTATCACTAATAGCCAGCTTACACTAATGTTCACTCTGGTTGCTGTATGTTACATGGTTTTAGATAAATGAAAATGATGTATATATCATCTTTCTACCTTGAAAATCTTTTGTACTTCACCTCTTCAATCTTCAGGCCACACTGACAGAACTACTGTCTCTATAAAATTGTGTTTTCCAGAATGCTGTATAGTTAGAGTCATGCAATTTATGTAGCCTTTTTTTGATTGGCATCTTTCACTTAGTAGTATTCATTCGCATTTTATCCATGGCATGACAGGATCTTGTTGTGTAGCTCTGGGTGGCCTTGAACTCACTATGTAGCCTGGGGTGGCCTCAAACTTGCATGTTCTTCCTGCTTCAGCCTCTTGAATGCTGAGATTATAGGTGTGTATCATGCTCATTCTAGGTGTATCATAGTTTGTTTATTCTCTAACTGAGGGACAATTTGGTATGTTTAATTTTGTAAGAGACCATCAAACTATCTTCTAGCATGGCTGCATCAAGGACCAGAGCAATCACTTTGGTAGAATATTTGTCTAGCATACATGAAACAATGGGTTGAATCCCTAGCACTTCCAAAAATTATTTTGACTCTATGTGGATCTATTTCTGTGCTCTCTGTTTTGTTCCATTGATCTTTTTCGTAATATCACGTCATCTTGATTATTGTAGCTTTATACTAAGTCTTGAAGTTTGGTAGTAGCAGCCCTCTGACTTCATTCTTTCAATATTTATTGTATTGACTAGTCTGTGTCTTCTACCTCTGTATAACCTTTAGAATTGGTTTGTTGATAGCTAAAATTTATTTTTAACTGCCAAATCAATACTCATGTTACTTTCATTGTCATTCACAGATGAATGTAGAGTGAGTGGCATATTTTTGTTTTGTTTTTTGAGACAGGATTTCCCTGTGTAGTTCAGACTGGCCCTGAACTCACTGTGTAACTTAGGCTGACCTCAGACTGGCAGTCTTCCAGTTTCAGCCTCTGGTGTTCAGAGATTACAGGTGTGTACTACCATGCCTAGTTCAAAACTTTTTTTTTTTTTTGAGGGGGTCTCCCTATGGAGTTTGGTCTTGTGCTCACTTTGTAGTCCCCAGAATGATCTCAAATTCCTAGCGATCCTCCTGTTTCAACCTCCTGAATGCTGGGATTATAGGCATGTACCACCTTACCCAGTTCCTCTTTGCTTTGTTTTGCTTTCTTTCCTTCTTTCTATTCTTTTTTTTTTGGAGGCACAAGTTTTGAAATGCCTGATGTGTTTGTGTTCTCAGCTGTGGTTGAACCAAGCAGCACTCTGCTTTATTTCACTTTCATATTATGACAGTATTCTTTTCATGATCTATTTAGTGCCATAGTTTTTGCATTTTGATGATTCTGCTATTTAAAATGGCTCCTTGGGGCTGGGGAGATAGCTCAGTGGCGTAAGCACCTGCCTGGAAAGCATAATATCCTGAGTTTGATCCCTGGTGCCACTGAATAAATAAATAAAATAAAATGGTCCCTAAACATAGTGTTAAAGTATGGCCTTGTGTTACAAACTGCAAGCCTGTACACAGGCTGCAATGTACATTACAGAGAAAATACATGTGTTAGATAAGCTTCACTTATACCTGAGTTATTATGCTGTTGGCCCTATATTCAGTGTTTAACAATTAGCAAAGTATATTAAATAAGGTCCTTAATTGGGAAATCACATTGTCATCAGAGTCTTCTGAGAATTTAATGAAGCCTTCATTTCCCCTAGTATCCAGTGGTTCAGTATTTGGTAGTTCATTGTTCATGAAATTTTACAGACTACAGTTGTCTTTTTTTTTTTTTTTTTATTTTGTGTGTGTGTGTGTGTGTGTGTGTGTGTGTGTGTCCAGCTCAGCCCACCAGGAGGCGGGGCTGGCTGGCATGTGGTGCTGGGGGATTGAACGGCGATCCCTGTGCTTTGCTAAGCTTGTTCTAAGTAGATGCTTTAGACCACTGAGCCATCTCACCAGCCCTATAGTTGTCTTGAATAGTTAAAATCTGCTGTATATGAAGTAACCAAATCACTAAGATTTTGAAAGGGGAGAAACTCTATTGCTGATTAAACTATTTTAAATTTTAGTTTATAGCATTCTGGTAGAAATAATCAAATCCCCTTATAATTGATTTTTATCTTTTTGCATCCATTGATTTTATTATGTCTCTTTGTGAAAGAAATCGGCTTTTCTTAGTAATGTTTAGCATATTTTATGGGAAAATATTAATGTTATTGATTCATTTGGTTTAATTCTCCATTACTGTATAACAGATTACTCTAAAATACAACAACTTTAAAGAGTAAACATGGTTCTTCCATAGTTTGGATATATTAGAATTTGGGTGGATGGGTTTACTGTCTTTCAGGTTATACTCAAGATGTTAGCTGTGGGGGCTGGTGAGAAGCTCAGTGGAGTAAAGCGCCTGCTTAGGCAAGCTTAGGCAATCACAGGGAATACATGCTGTGCCAGCCCTACCCCCAGGGCTAGCTGAACTAGCCACATAAAAAAGATGTTAGCTATGGCTGTCATTTGAAGGATTTGTGAATGAAAAGAGATTTGTTTCCAAGATGCCACACCCACATGGCCATTTTTACAATGAAATCTTAATTCATTGCCATGTGGGGTCCTAGAGTGTCCTTACACCATATAAGTCGACCTCTCCTAGAGCAGCTATTCATAAGAAAGCAAGGAAAAGCCAGTCTACCTTTCATGACACTCAGTCATTTCCAAAATATTCAGTCTGATAAAATTAAGTCACAAGGTTAAGCCTACACTCGCAGGGAAATTATAAAGTACACCTCTTGAAGAGGTGTAGTGTCAAGAAATTTATGTGCATATTTTAAAACCACTATTGGATTAATAGTGAACAGTTCTTTTTCCTCTCTTGTAGTGGTAAAAGTACCACAGAAGACACTCCTAATGGATGCTCTTAAAGAAGAATCTGAAATAATCTATGACTTTTGCATGTGCAACCCTCCTTTTTTTGCCAACCAATTGGAAGCAAAGGTAAAATATATTCTCCTTTAAAGTAATAGACTATTTATTTGCCTTGTTTCCAAAGATAAGAGCAAAAGGCAATTTTTATTTTGGAAGATGTATCATTTAGGGTGCTTTGATTTAAAGTACCTAAAAACTCAATTCAGGTTTAGTAGTTGGGTGTGGTAATGTGCACCTGGTACGCATGCCAGGGTTAATCACAGTATTTTGGGAGGCTAAGGTAAGAGGATCAAAAGTTTCAGCCCAGTTAGAGGAATTTAGTGAGTTGGTGAGACCCTTTTTAAAAAAATAATTAGGGAGGGGGCAGGTGGGGAAGTAGCTCAGTGTGAAGGCCTGGGTTCAAACCTAAGTTCTGGTGAAAAAAATAAAAAGACTTAGCAGCAAATATGTATCTGAAAAATCCAGTAGTAATTTGAGTTTCAGAAACAATTTGAGGGGCTGGGCAGGTAGCTCAGTGGAATAAGTGCTTGCCTGGCAAACACAAGGGCCATTTGATCATGGAATTCATAGTGTGTATAAAAGCTGAAGCTCTTTTCCAGGTTTCTCTAGTTTCTGCAATACTGAACCAAGTTACTGAACTGTAGTATATAAATATACTATGTAGGGGCTGGTGGGATGGCTCAGTGGTCTAGAGCACCTTTTTTGGAACGGGCTTGGCAAAGCACAGGGACCGCGGTTCGGTCCCCCAGCACCACATGCCGGCTGGCCCTGCCCCCTGGTGGGCTGAGCTGGCCGCGTACACGCGCGCACGCACACACACACACACACACACACACACACAAATAAAATTTTAAAAAATCTTTAAAAAAATAATAAATAAATATACTATATAATTTCACCCATCTAAATTATAGGATTTAATGATTTTTAACACATTCACTGAGGTGGATGACCATTGGCACAGTGAAATGTGAATACTTTCATCATACTAAAAAGGAATCTAGCAACCACTTGTTCTGGTTTGTCCCTAGCACCCTGCGCTAGTATTGAGCTAAGTATTGAGCAGTCCATTTTCTGTTTCTATAGATTTGAGCTGTTTGGACATATCATGTAAATGCAGTTACACAAATATGGCCTTTTGTGACTGACTGACTGACTGACTGACTGACTTTTATTAAGATTGATACTGAGTTCAATCCCCAGTACTACAAAAAAAAAAAAAAAATTGATGTACATTTTTTCCCCCATTTATGTATTTGGTACAGGGTCTCACTATGCAGCTCAGACTTATAATAATCCTTCTGTTTTCAGCCTTTCTGACACAGGGATTACAGGCATGTAGTAGCATGCCTGGACTCTGTTGCCAGCTCACTGCACCCCAGGGGTGGGGCTGGTGCGGCATGTGGGACCGGAGATTGAATCGTTTCTAGTATATACTATGGCATATACTAGTATTATTATTCTTTTGGGAAAGACTCATGGGTGCTGGCCGCAAACAAAGGTACACAGACACTCAGTGCAAACAAAGCAAGGGCTAGAGCAAAAAGGCTGCCATCCTGCCTTTGGCTTTTATTTTTATATAACTTGAGTCTCAGCCTTCGGGTTACTTTAGGTGAACATGTAAGATCCCATCATATGTGTCCAAGATTAATGTTTAGGCTATACTATATGTGAGAACCTGCTAGGCATCTGGGAGCAAGGACACAAAAACAGGGTGTCCTTGAGTACCAAGTGTTCTTGGTTACTTCCACAGCTGTGGCTGCCCTGTTTTCTTTTTCCTCATCCCACATGCTCTGCAGGTTATTTAGCATGTCTCTATATTAACTCTTTCTTATCCCAACATTATTCATTATTTCTCTTTGTTGCCAAATATTCAATTCTGTGGACACATCACATTTTTCTGTTTATCAGTTGATAGTCATCTAGATTTTTTCTACTTTTGGGCTCCTAGGAATAGTGATGTAAATGTTAGTGTACAACTCTTTCTGTGGGCATAGGTTTTCAGTCATCTTAAGTATATAACCAGAAGTAGACCTGCTGGGTCTTTTAGTAATTCTGTTTAATTATTTGAGAAGCCACCAGACTCTTTTCCAGTGTTGCTATACCATTTTATAGGTTTAGCAGCAGTAGTTAGTCTTCAAGTATTCCAATTCTCTGAAGCCCCATCAACACTGTTTGTTTGTTTGTTTATCTTCTTTTTTTCTCTCTCACTCACTTTCATTTTTTGTCTTTTAAAGATAGGGTTTCATTATGCAGTTCAGGCTGGCCTCAAATTCACGATGATCCTCCTGCCTCAGCCTCTGAGTGCTGGGATTACAGGTGTGCACCAGCATGCCCAGCCTATAGTCTTTGTTATTGAAGCTTATGCTTTTGGTGTGTCTTAAGAAAGTATTCGCTATCCAAAGTAATGAAGATTTATTTTATGTTGTATTCTGAAAGTATAACCCCCCACCCGTAACCACTAGTGATTAAACACAGAATCTTTGTACTGAGCTGTATCCCACCCTTTTTTGTTTTCTATTTTGAGACCATCTTGCTAAGTTCCCAGGGCTAAGCTTGATTTTGTGATCCTCTTGCCTCATCCTCCTAGAATGCTAGGATTGTAAGTATATGCCACTGCCACCATGCCTGGTTTATAATTTCTAACTTTTACATTTAAGTCTTGGGTGCATTTTAATCCATTTTTTTGTGTGATATGAGGTAAGGATGGGTTTTAAATATAAAAAGCAAAACTGTAGAAGTACTAGAGGAAAACATAAGTAAATATTTAATCATTAGGTAGATTTTCTGTGTATGGTATTAAAGCAGAAAACATGAAAAATTAACAGTTGAATTTTTAATTTTTTAAATTTTATGTATTTATTTTGCAAATTTGGGATTGAATCCAGAGCCTTTGTACTCAGCTGCTAAGCTATATTCTCAGCCTTCCACACACTTCTTAAGATTTTAAGACAAGATTTTACAGGTTGCTAAATTGAGGGCCGGCGAGATAGCGCAGCTGACTAAGCACCTGCTTAGGCAAATGCAGGGACTGGAGTTCGATCCAGGCACCACGTTCTGTGCCACCCCCACCCCCAGGTGTGTGGAGACCGTGCATGGTGGCGCATACCTGTGATTCCAACACTGGGGAGGCTGAGAACAAGAAGGTCAGAGTCTGAGCTGTGTAAAGAAGAAAAATTGCCTAATTGCCCAGGCTGACCTTGAGTTTGTGACCCTCCTGCCTCTACCTCCCAGAGTGCTGAAACTATAGACATGTACTATAGTGGCAGTGGTGTGCAGAATTTTTTAAATATTTATTCACGAAGATGGAAGATAAAGTCTCTAGGAAGGAATATTTGCATGAATGCAATTATTTAAAATATGTCTATGATTTTTATTTTTTTTTTAAACATTTATTTATTTATTTATT